TATATATATATATATATATATATATATATATATATATATATATATATATATATATATATATATATATATATATATATATATATATATATATATATATATATATATATATATCAGTGTATCTAACGATAACACTGTCCTGAAACTTCATATAAACCGCATAGCACCACCCAAAACAATAGATCAGAGCACCAAAGCTACTCTTAAAACTCCTGCATAAAGTTGGCCTGTTTAGAACCTGCAGGTGGCTCCAGCTGAAACTGTTGCAGCACGTTTGTTTCTACAAAATGCAATGAACGCCTGACAGACAGTGTTTTTTTAAAATACAGTTTGTGATATTCCAGGACTGTTTGTGCCGAGGATGAGGTTGTGTAATAGTTGTGCTTGTATCAGCACATTTGCGCTGGTGGGTGTGGTGTGTCGTGGCGGGTCCCGCAATGAAGTTTGGCATGGCAAGAGAGAGAAAGTGGTTAATCCAGGTGCGGAGTGTACAGATGGAGCCCAGCGGGAGCTTCCCCTGCGTCTGCACTGGCCTTTCCTTCCCTGTAAGATCCTGACGGGACCAGAGCTGCCATCAAACATTCATGCGCCTTGCTAAAGCTGCAGTGTGTATGTGTGGGTGCATGTTAGTGTTTGTGTACATGCTTGTGCGTGTGTTTGAGTGTGTGTGCATGAGTGTGTGTGTGTGTTTGTGTGACTTTAAACTATTAAAAAATGTTAATAAAAGTGACTTTTTCAAACTTTTCAAGGTTAAAAGTTGTTGGTAGAAAGATCAAAATCCCATAATTAATTAATTCATTCATTTTCCTTTAGCTTTTTAGAGGTCGCCACAGTAGAATGAATCGCCAACTATTCCAGCATATTTAATTGCAGTAATAAGACTAAAAGTGCCAATGAAAGGAGACATAATCATCCTGACATCAGCTTGAGATCTAACAGCGGTGTGTGTTTGTGTCCAGGAAAACGCAGTGAACGGTGATCATCTGTGGCTGGAGACCAACTGCTCCGGTGAACTCTGCTACCTGGGTGAAGAAACCTGTGTGGCCAAGATCGCAGTGAGTTAAACACCCTTCAAACTGATGCTGTTGGTTGATACTGAAAAACTTCACACTGTTTTAAACTGTATTATCACACTCTCAGTCAGGCTAATTTATAATGGTGTCCTCCAGTGTTGTCTTTAATGCTCTAGCTTTTGGCTGGACAATTTATAGTTTGAGCATCAATATTGCAACGTGTGTATCTACAACAGTCACATTGCAGGATTAGATTATTTATTCAAGATTACAAGTTATTAATATATTGTATATTTTTAACATTTTTATTTAATGATAACAAGGTTATTATTATTAATATTAATAATTAAATATTTTGTATTAATATATGTTTATTACTTGTTGTTTTTGTTAATGTTTATTTTGTTAATGTTTATTAATGTTTATTAATGTTTATTAATTGTTTTTGTTGTTGTTGTTTATTATTGTTGTGATTATTATTATTATTATTATTATTTTATTGATATTATTTATTTATTTTATTATTATTATTATTATTATAATCATTATTCTTTTTTATAATTCATTTAATTTTATTTTTATTATTGTTTTATTATTGTTATTATTTTGTTTATTATTGTTATTGTTGTTATTATTATTTTATTATTGTTATAATAATTATTATAATTATTATCATTATCATCATTATTATTTTTATTATTAATTTATTTAAATTTGTATTATTTTTTATTATTATTTGTTTATATATTGTTATTAATATTTGTTTATAACTTGTTTATTATTTATTATTATTATTATTATTATTTGTGCTTATTATTGTTGTTGTTGTCATTGTTTTATTATGATTCATTTTATTTTATTATTGTTTTATTATTTGTTTATAACTTGTTCATTATTATTATTTGTTTATTATGATTATTATTATAATTATTATTGTTATTTTTATTTTTATTATGGTTATTTTTATTTTATTTTTTACTATTGTTTAATTATTATTATTATTATTATTTCTTCATTTTATTATTATTA